TTGGCTTGCTTGAGAAGTACACTCATTAGTACAAGAAATATTTAATTGAGATGGTGTACAAATGAGTGTGTGAGTGGAAGGTTGAGATGATTTTACCGATGTGATCACAACCTCATGAGCTACCTCAAGCATAAAATGTGATTCCACTAACTTTTCATGTGAGCACTTGAGATGAACATAGTTCGCTTGAAGTACATTGTATTTGCTTGATAGTTCATCTAGTCTTGCCTTGAGCTCAATGTTGTCCTTTTCTAGTTGTGACACACTAGAAGAGGAGTTAGTAACTAAGGCATGCTCAATTGACAATTTTTCATACCTTTCATTCAATGCCTTTAGTTCTTCCAACTTGGAGATGAGAAACTTTTCTTACTTTTGAAGTGATTGTTCTTGTTTTATTCTTTTCAACTATCTTCATGATGATGAACTTGTCTTTGCGGTTGAGATGATCAAGGTTGTAGTTGTCTTCAACTTCAACGTCACTCTTATCTTGATCATCTACTTGTGCTTTCTCCTTTTCTTGATCTTTCTTGTTACTCTTCTTGCTTTTCTTGGCCATGAGACACAAGTGATGAGTATCATTAGATACTGAGGTTGACTCATCACTTGGCCGCCATCGAGCTTGATCATTGTCGTAGATGCCAACTTGCTGTCTTACTGTTTCACCAATACTAGACACGTCCGGTAGTGATACCGGACACGTCTGGTATGTGCAGCCAGGCAGCACTGCATCTGCGGCTTGCACGTCTTGCTCCGGCTCAATGCTTTACTGGTTCCTTGAGGTTTCTCCACTACATGAAGACTCAATGGGCATGTATTCCATTGACTCATACTCATGAGCCTCATCACATTTGGACTTTCCGTATAAATCAATAAGTCTAGTCCAAATGAGATGAGCACTCTTCGGAGGTGTTTGCCCATTGAAGATTGCCTCATCTAGAACCTCTGCACTCAATGTACTCAACATGACATTAATTGCTTGAGCATTGAGTTACATGCATATCTCTTCCTCTTTTAGAATATTTTTGTAGTTGCTCCAATCAACTACCGGAAGAGGGATGCTTGCATCCACAATACACTCAACAAGAGGACTAATAGCCCTAAAAGCATTGAGTACATGAATTTACCAAGGTAGAAACTTTGAACCATGATTTTGGAGAAGCACCGGCTCCGACTCGTTAGGCGTCAACATCCTTTTCTCATGGCGGTTAAGCTTTTAGTGAGTCCTTGCTCTGATACCAATTGAAAAGGACCGTGGATACCACCTAGAGGGGGTTGAATATGCGTTTCTAAAAATTCAACCCTTCAAAATGTGGAAACAATTAGTGTTGGAGTTTCCAAATTACTTGGAAACTCATAATCAGAGAAATAAAACCCCTCATGAGTTAGCTAATAGAGTAAACAAGGTATATGTAAGGTATCTAGGAGCTAAAACCCTGCACCATAAAGGTTAGAAATGAGATTGAATAAAAACAGCAGGGTCCACAAATACCGGACGTGTCCAGTATCAACCGGACACGTCCAGTATACACGGGTTCTGCCCGATCAGCTCCCAACTTGATCCTTTCGATTTCTCCTTTCACACCAAGTTGCTGGCACTTAGTAGTAACTTGTTCACAAGCTCAAGCAACACAAGTGGATCACAAATACTCAATGAAAAGAGAGATCGAGACACACGATGTGTTTTACCAAAGTTCAGCCTCCGTCGAGACCTACTCTCCGTTGAGGGGGCTACGAGTGACCCAGCAAAGGTTAGCTCTAGAGGACCACGAAGGCCACTCTAGCCGAAGTCTTTTTCAACTCGTTTTCTTCCTTCCACTAGCTTGATTCCTTCCCTTGCGGCGGTGGAATCGAACCATTACAAACTCTTCAAGGCACACCACAATCTCTTGGGTGCTCTCCGGTGACGCCTAGCCGTCTAGGACCGAAGAGTCCAAGAGTAACAAATGCAAATCACGAGATTGACAATATTCACAAGTGCTCAAGGGTGGCTTGCTCTGAAATTTGAATCTCACTTAACCCATAAGATGGATTTTGTAAGTTTAAATCAATCACTCACTAAGAGAGAGTTGGAGAGTGTTCTCAAGGCTCAAAAATGTGTCTGGATGTCAGCAGAATCAGCAGCCTCCAAGGTGGTGGCTAAAGGGTATTTATAGCCCCTTTGAAAAACTAGCCGTTATGTGAACGTTGGGTAATACCGGACATGTCCGGTATCAATGGCCATACAGCCCCAACGGTAACTTTGTCAGTGTCGCTATGAGGCGTCGGAACTCCCGACCCCCGGAACTCCCGACTCACGTTGGAACTCCCGACAAGCCAAGCCGAGACAACGAAGAAATTTCTGTGACTAGGAAAATACCGGACACGTCTGGTATCAATACGCCAGACCACTAGAAAAGAAGTTAGCTCTTTTGTCTCTCAAACACTCAAACTTCACATGGGTTGGTTTGAGCACTTATGAATGATTATCTATCAACATGATGCATCCCTCTTAATAGTACAGCATACCTATTAACTCAAGATCAAATGAAAACAGAGTTTGAAGCACTTGAGTTGAATTTCCTTGAACCGAAATGCCATAGCCTTCAATCTTCATCAAGTGAGGGTGTCAACATGTTGATTTTGATTTTTATCCTTAAGCATTGCCATCTTTAGCATTTGACTTGATTCCATTCAACATTTGAGAGTTGGCTTCAAAGATATCAAGTCATCCCTTTATAAAGTCATCTAGGATTTGATTCTTCACTTCAATATGACCAACATGATTTGATTAGTGCCTTGACTAAATGCAAGTACTTCCTTCTTCACCCTAGCTAGGTTCCTCGGTCGCTAAGCAACTTGCAACATGAAAACACTTATTGCAACATAAGACTAAAACGGCTGAAATATTTCGTACATACTCTTACAACATATGTGTGAAACATATGCAACATTGAGATAAAAACGCTTGCAACATACGTCTGAAGCATATGAAACTTTGAACAAATGCTTGCAACATGCCTCTGAAAACACTTGCAACATGTCTCTGGATCACTTTGCAACATATGCAACATTTCGATCTACTTTTGCAACATCCATATGAAACACTTACAACATACATCTAGAACATCTGAAACACTTGAAACATACGCTTCACGCGCTTGCAACATCCGAGGAAGGAAGGGAGCGCGAGGTGCAACCGGAGCAGCCCGCTCCGGGTATGGCCACTCCAGATTTTGTGATGTCGCAAGCTGAGGTCGAGCGTCGCGGCGGCGCTGGAGTCGACAGCGGCCACGACCTCCTGTTGGGGAACGACGTATGTTTTGTAGCATTACCGAATTAATTATGGTGTGGTCCTTTATTTAGCCCAAATTCTATTGCAATCCTTTTCTTTCAATATATACATATGTACACTGCTTTGTTAGTTGTCACCTTGCAGCCTAACAAACCGGGGCATCTTTAGGTAAACCCGGGTGGACACTAATGTAATTGTGTGGGTACTCCGATGATAGGTTACTCGGCAATCACCTCCTCTAAAGGCCCCGTTCGGCTGCCCTTAAACCCGGCTTGATCCATTTTTTTTTTATCCGGAACAGTATTTTTCTCTCACAATATTTCATCCGGAACAGTGTTTTTCATCCAAATTCCTCCAGAATTCATCCAGCCGAACGGGGCCAAAATTGGATATCTTCTAAGCACAACACCATCAATCAACAACATGGTCACACATAACACACAGGTCGAGCTGCGGGGGCAGGGCTAAGCCTGTGCAACAAAAAAAAATGCTCAGCCATCATCGACCTTCCTAACCACACAAATGATAGAACACAGATACGCAGCCGAGCACGACATATGCCTGCAAGCCCCTTATGGTCTCGGACAGATTCGTTTCTCTGATAAAAACTAAGTAGTACAACACCATTGCATTATTTAAGCACAAACGGGAAAAGGGTGAAAGAGAGTTGAAATTTTAAAATCCGCACATTTCTCGGACTGGCCATAGGCATGGTTCAGTTTCCTTCAGCGTAAAAGTAGCCAAACTAAATATTGGTCCCAACACAAATAAAATACTACCACCTACGTCCAGAAATACAAAGAGACTTTGGCTATTCAACAAAAGCTTGTCCAGAAGACCAGCAGCCTATTCGGGAGGCCGTATCGTATCGTGGATTATTTACTGCTGACTGGCTTGGTGTGAGAAAAAAACACTGTTCCTGGCTGAAAATTTACGATCGTTTACGAGCAAGCGAACAGGCTGAGAACTCCAGGTGAATCGCCAAAATTCCTTGCATTTGGGGACGGAGGTAGTAGTTCTTATGCAAAAGCTATTTAATATGTTGCAGAAACATTGTAAAAATACTTACGAGCCTGCATTGTTGAGCAAAAAGGGAGGCCATTATATTTGTTAGACAACATGTTTTTTTTTTTGGGGGGGAACAAGACAACATGTTAGTCCACGGATACATCAGGTACATCATGTCAACTCAAAACATATAGCAACGTAACATGAATTGTTATGCTGAGTGTAAGAAAATGGCAATTTTCCCACTATGCCTTGCTTGATTACTATGTTACTCCTGATTTAAAAGCCTACGATTCTTGCAGCAAAATGGTTCTACAGATGGTCTTAGATGAGAAAGATTAGTGACAAAAAAAATGATTTCTTTTCCTCCAACAGCAATGGTACAGGGACAACTAGGAAAAACTAACAGCTTTCATTTCCAAATTTTATCCAAAATAGCTTTGACACAACAATCCTGCAGGGAAGACCAAGTAGATTGTTCAGTTTGGCAAACATCAATGGTAAAAAGGTTCACATGGATTGACCACATGATCAAATGCGCGGATGCCCAGGCATGTAGAAGTATAACCAACATAATTGAACTGACAGTTGGTAATTTGTTTTACAGCTTTATGGCGATAGGATATTCACAGCACTCCTCTCAACCATGATAATGCACATTACACAGTTACAAGCAAGCCACTCAACTGTCAGTATTATGGAAGCACGACAGCATGGCATTTCAATCATCTTTCTGATGTAAAGCACGAGGTAGACTATTACCATTCAGTGCGGCATGGTACACTCGCTTCTCCGCCAGCCCAAGGTCTGAAAGAATCAAGTTTCCCTGAAAAGAAGTCAAGATTTTCATATGGTATTTACCATAGTACCAATAACTGGTACAACAATACCATTCCATGCGATTAACAAATTTTAAACGAAAGAAAGAATTAACATACCTCCACTGCCATCAATTTCCGTACATTATTTGCATAAACCTTAGGATCATCCTTTTCTTGCTCAGAAGGATAGTAAACAGGTAAATGGACCACCTCTAGATAATTTACAAATTGACAGAGGAGCAGAAAAACATGGCGTGCCTGCATGTTTTTCAAGAGAATTCAGCAAACTTAAATAGATACAAGAATATTAGTTAATTTTAGTATGTCACGAATAGACTGTTCCCAAACAGAATTTTATTCTTAAACTAGTTCACAAACTTCAACCACCACCACATGGCACTCAAACATGAAGATGTACTACGCGAACATTGATTTTTCCCTCGAATATGGAGGAGAGCTGTGTATCATTATATACTATATAAATAAAAAATAATAAATGAGTCTAAGAAGACTCATACAAGCCCACCAACTGAGGATAAAATTATGACCACTGCACTAATAAAGCTCCTTTGGCCAAATCCCCTGGAGCCATTTGGTCCCAGACATACACCATAAATGGGCCTCATCCCTAATGTTAGAATGCTGATTTTCTCTCTGTTATTTTGCTTCTACAAACCAATACCATTGACGCGGATTTTGATTAAAAGGTCTACAGTAAAAAAATAGTTAAACAAAAAAAACAATGGAGTCCATTCTCAATACACAAGAAAGTTATAGAGGCACCAAATGGTAGCTAAGTTTTTTTTGGGGGGGCAATATTTCAGTATTTTCTAAGCCTAACATTAATCATATCCAAATAATGCCATGAATCAAAAGTTATCATAATGAGGATAGCGCCGTTTTTGGAGGGAATATTTCATGGTATTGCTAATGTATCTATCCCCTTTTTTTGGTGTTCAAATGCTAATTTCAATCAGACAAATTGCCAGTGATACTCACCCCTGACATGGACTCCCATGCTGGATTAAATCTTTTGTAAGGATATCTCAAAATGACTGGTTTGACTGGTGCTTTTGCAAGAAAAGCACCTGTTTTGAATGGAAGGAGATAATCCCCATTTGTAGTTGTGCCCTCTGAAATAGTAGAATGTAAAGTTATTAGAAGAAAGCATTAACAATGTGCATAATCAACCGTTGGTCTTACCATCAAAGTATTAAGACTAGATAACAAACCCAACAAGAGAATCACAAGATGACAACAAAAGATGATAATGCAATGAAGATGTGCCAACAATTCTGTGAGAAGTTAAAAATATATATTCCACAAATAGAAGAAAAAATGTATTCTGCCAAATAACCTTTAAACTGAAAAATCATCAGTTGGTATCCAAAACAAGACTTCAGAGATGATCAGATATAAAGTTAATATGAACTTTACCAGGGAAGAGTAGCATCATTGGTGCATTTTGCTGTTGATGAGCACGCTGGATTCTTTCTGTTACAGCACCTGTGTGCAGTGTAGCATATCAGAAGCTGAAAGAAGTAAAATGGAATCATGTATTCGGTATTCCTTACCACAGAAAACTATGCCAGATATACAATAAAAGAGGCAAATGTGCCCCTAGTAGTTGTGTGTCAAAGACTAAGTCCCAACCAATATCTTTATACATAAGGTGCTAAACCTAGTAGTCATATTGAACAGCTACCAATGCCATCTAATAATTCTCAAAACTCCCAAATCTAGTTAAACCCCATTAGATCTTTCATAACTTCTCAATTTTCAATCTTTTTCCCCATACTAATGGTTCTTGAACTTTCATCGTTTTCCCAGTCTTCTTAGATTTTTAGTTGGCTATAAAAGTAACTCCCAAACCACCTGTAATACTTCCATTTGTGAAGGATGGTATTGTCCCATCAAAACAGGGTCATCTATTTTAGAATATTCTATCAGAATAAACAAAGTAAATAGTTGACGGGAGAGATTCTGAATCGAATGGGCACTTAAGTTTCAGGAGCATTGGATGGAATTCAACAGTAGACATCAATCAACAAGCGGAAAATTCGGTGCAGAATTTCCCAATCAAAATTTGGTAGTCAGTAGTACGTTATTTCCAAACACGCTAGAGTTTTGACAATGAGAAAATAAGTTTTTTATCCACAGAAGAACAAAAAAAACACAAACCATGTTGGTTTAAGACTATGGAAATCACCTGAAACACCTTTGAAATCTGATGTTTTCGACTCCCGCTGAACAAAAATGCATCCAAGACATTTGCTGCATATAATAATATAACATGTCATTTTTTTCAATTCATCTTACATCTTACACAAAGTAAATACAAGCAAACATTTGTCCAGTTAAACTATCTACCACTAGACCATGTTATAATTTCTGGTAGAAGACTGAGCGAAAACATAACTATAAAGGCAGCAGAGAATGCTAGTACCTTATGAGACCAACTAGGGGCAACCTTGCCACTGATCTCTTCAAGAAGGATAGGGATGTGCAAAAGATACATGTCAAAATCAATATAGTTTGATGGCAAAGTTTTGAGAAATCATATAAACAATTACATTATCACAAAAAATTTACAGTACCTTTGTAACAAAACTAGGAAAAGAGGCTGACATGTGATAAAGAATATCCACATAAGATACATGATTAGACACAATCGCCCCAGGCCTTTCGATTTCTTTAGACTGGTCCACATCGTCATCCTGAAATATTAATGAATTACGATAGCTGGAGATGACATAGACACAAAACCAGCCATATATAATATTCATTCCACTCGTCATTCAAACCCCCCAAGTAGGATTCACCTGTAGTCAGTCAGTAAAGGCTAAAATTACATTGATACTATATTCTGCTACAAATGATGACCATGCTACGCGACCACCACCAGATTTATCACATTATCATCAAATTCTGATGTCTGAGGAACTTCACCCACAACGCAAATACTTCCCCAACATCTGGAAACATTTTAGCTGCAAAGAAACACATGGGATCACAATGTGGCAGGTGGGGGAAACAAACTAGCAAATCTTCCATGCAAGTTGATAGATGCACCTATGCACAATGACAGGGTGCACATAGTTAAGATAAATTTAATCAGTCTACAGATCCACTTTCTCATCCACACAGGAAAAACATGCTGCCCATGAACAAACAGCAAAACACCCAGGCTAATAGCTATATGTATATTGTGTCAAATACTGTCAAATATTACACTATCAAGCTCTTTCGTAGCTCAGGAATCAAGAGCAAAGAAGGCAAGCAGAGAATAAAACAATCAGAAGCTTGCATATAGAACTAGAACTACTCATCATCACTACCTCGGCATTGGGGAAGCGGCAGTCGTACTCCCGGATCCAGTAGAACCCGAAGACGAACAACATGGCGCGAGCGAGTGCGCGGCCGCATCGCACAACCCCCGCCCGCCTCTACTCGTCCAGCCGCGCGTACCCATCCCCTTCGCCGCCCTCCCGCTCCTCCTCCACCCGCAGCGTGCACACGCGGCACACGAGGTAGTAAACCACGAGTACGAGCACGCCTGCCACGACGCGGAGCGGGACCAGCACGACCGCGGCAAACGCCAGCCGCGCCGCCTCCGCCGCGCTCACGGGGCCGAGCCCCATCGGCCCGTACGCGTCCCGCCGCGCGTACGGCGCGTACCTCCGGTCCAGCTCCTCTATGCTCTCCAGCACCGGGGCTGCGGAGGCCGCGGAGGGGGAGGGGGAGGGCGACGAGAGGAGCGGCCTGGCGGCAGCCGTGTCTTCGCTGCTCATCTCACTGCCGCCCACGCTCTCCGGCTCGGACGGGGTGGTGATGTTAGCGGCTTCGTTAGGAGCCATGGCGATGAAGGCGAAGAGGGAACCCTAACCCTAGCGCTGACGCCGGATCGGCATGGTGAGGACGACGAGATGGAGATGGAGATGGAGATGCGGTCGGTGGGGAATTGTGCGACGAGGAGACGACGACCAGACGGTGGCGGGGGAGGAGGAGGATGAACCGCTGAATTTTGATCGGACGGCTAGGATCTGCTGGGAGTTGTTTGATTAGTTTTGGGTAACATGGTGGTGATGATTAACTGGCTATTTTGATCAGCCAGCGGTTTATGGGAGGCACCCAAACCCATGCTCATACGTGTGGGCTTTGTTTTCTCCGTGCTCATACGTGTGGGCTTTGTTTTCTAACCAGGGCCAGCTCTAACTCGCTCTTTTTCTTAAAAAGCTTGGGCTCGTTTTGTAAAGTAGCTTGTCTAATGGAGTTAAAGTTGTTTTTATAGAAAAAAAAAAGCTCCACAAAAAGGCTCAAGTGGTAGTTTTGTACTAATTTGTATCTCAATTTGCAAAGAGCTCTTTTTTTTTAGATGGCCATTTGGCACAACTCAACGACAAGAGCGCATGAAGCCGGAGCCAAATCAATGCCAAAGGGACCCTACGTAGACATGTTCATAGGTCATCCAACCAACGTGATCCAACCTAACTTGTCAAAAAAAAAAACCTTAACCCAATAGTATGTCGGGTCAAGTTTGGGCCATGATTTTTGACCCACGGCTCGACCCAACAAAAAAACCAGACCCAAAGTAGGAAAATCATAAAAATAGCACGATTCAACTTGCCATTGCGTCAGGTCAGGCTTGGACCAAAGATTTTGATCCAGAAAATTTTTCTAGCCCAAATTGTTCGATCAAGTACAGACTAGAGAAAGCCAAAGGGATTTACCTAAACGGTATTTTTTTACTTGTTCGTATCAAATAGAGATATCAGATATTTTCCTATACATGTTTGTAGGCTCAACGGAGGCGGTACAGAGCCATTTTCCCCCACAGGAATCCATATGGGAGAACACGTCATAGATGGAGCTGATAGGGGTAAAGACATGATATCTATTGATGTGTGCCCATTGTCCATATTTAAACCCTAGCGGATGGGTAAGTTTTTAGCTTAATTCCTCATCTATCAGTGGAGAATGGTTGGATCACGTAATACAGTCTATATCGACCGCTATATTGAGTCATCTGTAATAAATTTTAGTTAATTTTACTAAAAAAAACTTAGGTGAGTGTGGGATTTTTAATTTTGGCGTCCAACTTTTGAAGCGAGGCATACAAGGAATTTGCTCAAAGGATTCCCACACAAGCAATTGAACTAATAGGCTATTTGCTTTCACGCTTTCAACCCGTCAACGATTCACAACATGAATGGATTGATTGCCTTATTTTGTATTTGGATGGGCTGAGTGATAACCGATCAGTGTCGTGAATGGAAGCAACGCAACTTCGCTAATTCTCCTACAATCCAACCGCTTCGCTTCGCTCCGCCTCCCCTGCCACTACATCCATCACCCTAACCACACATGCACCCAAATTCTCCTCCAATCCAACTGTCGTGTCAACCACCGCCAGCTCCTGCAGCAGTGCCGAACAAGCCCGAGCCCAAGGCCCCCAAAGACGACTCCCACTGCCAAGGCATCAGCACTTCAGCAGCCATGGCCCCGACACTCAACCTAGAGATGCCTGGCGCCACGCCGCCTTGAAGACCAAGCCCAGCGCTCGCCGCCTTGACGACCAAACCTACCCAGGCCCCGCCCACGGTAAGAAGTCCTCTTCCTCCATGGAAGATAAGAATAGGTAGTCCTCAAACCAAACAAATAGCGTTTTTAATTCCCCTAAACAAATAGCACGACAACAAAAAGCATTTTTAGTTCCCATAAACAGATAGCGAGACAGCTGATTGCTTTACCATTCCCGCACCCACTGCTAAACCAAACATGACCTAAGATGAATCCAGTTGCAACTCCATTCCTACAAGAGTTCTAAATATATGGTAAAACGTGACAAACATCTGTATGACAGCAGGTAGAACTTAAAAGACAGACCATTAAGGGACTAAAGTGAACAGTTTTACATAAAAAATGGGATGTGATACCATCATATAAAACAATGCATATTATTACAACAATTATAAAATATCCTAAATCATGGCGAGTAGCTCCCTATTCTTATATTGTATGCACAATTCCACCCCAAGGGCAGTGTCCTCATTTATTTGACACAGAAATTTGGAATACTACAACCTTCCTCCCCCTACCACCCTGTTGCACTAAGGGCAAATGCAGGGAGATAAACATAAATATTCCATCCGTACATACATGAACTTAGATGGACCTCTTGTGTGGTCACGGCAGCAGCAGCACATGCTTAAGTGCAGATGATTCTCTTTGTGTTCCTTGACTGTATTGTGATGCTGTTATCAAGTTTGATGACCTCCTTTACAAGTTATCATCATCAAATATTGTCGAGAGCACAAGCCCACGGACGAATTTGCTCCTTTGAACCCTTTCCTTCTGATCCTTCTCCGACAATGATGGTTCAGCTCTGTAGATTCACCACAGCAATTTAATCAAGAATAAACACCAAAGAGAAATATAGTGAATGAGGGGGAAATTTGGTACACAAGGTGAAACATTAAAACATCATTCTGAAATGTTCATTATTTTGTTCAGCTCACAAGTCAAAGAAAAGCAAAATCGAGGTTTGTTCATTTCGTAGGTCTCTACAGAACATGTGGATGCAATCATGCATGTAGCTCATAACAATCCCTTAGAAGAGGATGTGCTATAATTTTCAAGCATAACTTTTTTTTTCATTTGTTAGCACTAGCTGAAAACATGTGAAAGAAGTGCCCATAAAGCAAAATCGCATTTCAGCATTATGGGTATAATGATAGCTATTAGGTAAAAAGCACAGAGCCATGAGGGCGAAAATGTCAATCATCAATGCATACAACCTTATGGCATCGGAAATACAAAATCTTCAACCAATTTCTTTGAACGGTGCCAAATAGACCTAAGAATCATGACAATCAGCATAAACCACATCTTAGCATCACAAAGAGTGTATAGTGATCCACTGAGAAAGTCAGCAATACAGCCATGAAGGATAAATTACTAACATAATAAACAAGCAATACCGAATAAAGCTATTTGATATGATATTTTTAACATGCTTGGACGGCATAAATATGCACTTGTTCCTCAGTGAAGTACCACAGTTAGAAGATTATATTATCCGCAAACACAAGAAAATGAGAACTTGACATAATGTGGAAAACTATGAACTATACACTGACCAGATACAACGGTATCGTGGCAAAGAGGGAGCTGAGTGAGGCAGCAGAAAGAACAAGCTTGAGGTGACATACCTCTCTACAGTCTTTTCATCTGGGAATTTATTTAGCAAAAAGTTATTGTCAGATGAGTCGGAATGTAAATCTTTGGATGGTTCAGCCACAGGCAAATTACAAATTAAAGATGACAAAAATGGATCTGGTGCTGCAGCAGGAGGATTGGATACATAGGATGATCCACCGAGAAATGACTGCAAACTGCCATTTCTCAAGTCCTTTCTCAACAAAGATAACAAAGAATGGGACCCAGTAGATACTTTTCGAACTCTGCGCCTGCGTTGCATGTATTTTTCATTAAGGAAAACATTGTGTAAATTCTGTTCCAACATACCTATGTATCTTCAACTGTAGTATAATGTGAAAATGTAAAAATGCAAGTGATCAGCAAGACAGCAACAGCAGCATAGTAAAGGATATCTTGAAATGACTTCCATGCTGCATAGTCAAATGTCCTATCAAGTCCATTCCAACCCTTGTAGCACAGATGGGGCATACCTGAAAGGGCATTTCAGCAAATTCCATAAGTTTTTGTTATCTAAGTCTATTATGTAGGATGATCTTAGTTGTAAAGCAGGTTAAATAGCTAACACTGCTTCTATCATGCCCTAAGAAATAAGAAAAGAAGTGATTAATCCATCTGTTACAAGTTTGCAGCAGTCTTCAGAATAGAGAGAGAAGATTTCAAGCCTAAAAAAGTATAGATTCGTCAAATGGAAAAGAAATACTGTAAAGGATTAAGAGCTGGAAGACAGCAATGAGTCTGACAGAAATGAAAAGAGGCAAATGACAATGCACCAAAGTTTTCTTCAAGTCTCAACAAGCAGAGACAAACAATTGGTATGGCATCAAAAAAGAAACTCTGGATTGTATAGTACCCCGAATGAGCTAGAAAATATTGTCTTAACACAAGGAATGAAAATGACACCCATGTTTGGGCAATGTTGAAGAAATGTGTGAGATCTATGCCAATCCCATTTTGTAGTGGTTGGTCCTGATTAGTTTTGTACTTCTGTTAGGGCAAGCAAAGCCAGGGTAGTAAACACTACCCTAATAAAGCTTGGCAGCAAATGGTAAGAACCCAATGACTGAGCTATATATTCATATCTCCAAGATAGGTAAAGTGAGTATTTGCCCACTGAGGCTTGAACACAGATAGGCCAGAGGCGCAAACAGCATCTAGATAAAAAAAAAAACAAATGCACAAGGCTTTCCTGCTTCTAATTCCATTGACCAGTTACCACTTAATATACTGACTAAACACTTATATTAGCGATATAAAATGATTGTTAAATTGTGATTCTACAAGGTGTGCAATATGTAATCCTACATATTTCAATCTAGTTTCCCAAAAGATATTTATATTCTATCCTTACTTCTACCCAAGTCCAGATGGATTAATCTGTTTTGTTGGTTCTTGTAGACAATAACTAACAAGCATTCTTTCATGACAAACAAATCAACCACAAAATTAATTACCAAGTCAGAGTTTTACAACAGTCTTATTGGGACATTTCATGAAAGAAAATGGCCAGATTAAATGACTCGACAATAAGTGATATGAAATGGCATACAAGATAGAATGGTCATCAGCTGCAAAGAAAGGTAGTACAATCCTTCAGCTCCAAAAGAAAAGCCACAAGAAATTCTAGCACAAACCCAAAAATCATCCATATCTAGTACTTCAACTTCAACGTCAATATGGGTGCTAACAGAAGATACCGACAAATGAACCAGCTAATCTAGAATGCAAACAAGAATAACAAATTACCTACTAGTATTCCATTGGTTCATTTTCAAGCATAGTCATAATTAGCAAAATACAGCAAGAAAGATTGTCAGGTAAAAGGATTGTATGGGAAACTTGCAGCACAAGCAACAAATGTTACACCTAACCCAACCCCAAAGACAGAAGTTCAACTAACCCATCAGATAAAACTAAAACCCTCTCAGTGCAGCCCAAAATCAAAAGTTTAAAACAGCCACTTGATGACTTGAAAGGCAAAGATGCCTAACAGGACACCAGGAGCTCACACAGAACACACATGATCACAAGTGGATTTGGTAGCTGGAATGACTTAGCCTTTTCTGTTTTTTCTCTTCTACTAATTAGCCAATGTGAGCTACAAATCGGCTGTGATAGCCTCCTATTTAATGCAGAAAATTACCCAACTAATCAGCCTATTACTCCATGCTGAAAATTAGCTAAAGTAAATGCTATGCACCTAGACACTAGCATGCACCTACACACACAGGATTATTTCCAACACCACTTTCCCAACAAACCCACACAATCATTCCAAATACGATTCCCCCAATCCAGCACACAAACACACCTACCTAAACCCCATAAGCAACCACGTCCCACAATTCCAACCAACAATGCTCTCAAAAGGTGACACCTATTTGTTCCAATCCATGACATCCCCTCCAGAAACAAGACAACCCAGAGTAAGATTTTTTTTTTCTATATGTTGGTCCCAAACCAATGTTTTCAGATCGGACGACTAATCGCGATTAATCATGATTAGTCGTCCTTATCGTAACCAGGTGCTCGATAAGGGCCCTCGATTAGTTTAGACCGATTAGAAAACTTATCGTCCGATAAGTTGCGACTAATCACGATTAGTCGTCCGATCAGACTAGCCGGACGACTAGTTCGGAGGAGGGGGAATTTGGCCCAGTTAAAGAATTCGGCCCACCTTTAGCTGGCCCATTAGGGTAAGAAGAAGATGAGTGAGTGAGTGACCTAGTGGGAGTTGCAGCCGCACGGCACATTTCCAGCTCCCGCTGCTCTCTGCCTCTCTCTCGCAGCCGGTGGCAGCCTGCCTCTAGATCTCCCTCGCCGGCGTCCGCAGCTCCGTCCGCGCCCCTCGCTGGTGTCCGCAGCTCCGTCCACACCTCTGTCGGGCGTCCGCAGCTCCGTCCGCGCCTCTCGCCGGCGTCCGCAGCTCCGCCCGCGCCTCTCACCGGCGTCCGCAGGTCCGCCCACGCCTCTGTCCGGCGTCCGCAGCTCCGCCCGCGCCTCCACCTCCGCTCGCTCCTGTTTCCTCCCCTGCCGGGACCCAGTAGCTCCGCCCGCCTCTGAGGCTCCTTCCTCGACGCCTGGAGGACGGACACGGGAGGCCTCAAGCATCAAGATGAGCCACCATCAGGCATCAGCAAGCAATATTGGTCAGCAGTCAGCTCTCACCATCAGGCATCAGCAAGCAGCAGTTACAGGTAAGTGGCCAAATCACCATGATAATGATTCATTGCAAACATGATTACATGCCAAACTGTGCTTGGTTGCTTGCCTCTAACATTTACCTATTTATTATGGCCATGTTTACATATATTTACATCATATATATAGTATATACATGGTCGATCAGGCCATCTAGGCACAAGGACGACTAAATGTCCGACTAGCCGATTAGGACCGACTAATCGACCCTTATCGACGACTAATCGCGATTAGTCGTCTGATCGGTGGTCATACGACTAGCCTCGATAATACGAACTGAAAACATGGTCCCAAACTACCTCAGAAAAAGAAAAGGTGTGGAGGGGAGAAGAACCAGGCGTCATATTAGCATCCAATGGTCTGATTTTCCACAGCAGACATGAGAAGCTAAGAGATGGTTCCAACCACTTTAACCTGTAACCTCCATTTAACCATCACAATTGCGAATTGCAAAGGGGAAAAAAAGCATGCCTAGAAATGCGTAGTTGTACCGATGGTAGACATCATCACTTCATCAGATGATAAGAATTGGGCCGGGAACGAGTGAAAGCAACGTACCCCGCTCTTAGCCTCAACGGCATGCTCGTCGTCGATGTGGCAGCAGAGGCTGACGAAGTCGAAGTCCTCGCCGCAGAAGGGGCAGTTGTAGGGCTCCGCCCCGCCGCGCGGGTCCGTCACCTCGTCCCCGCCGGCATCCGCGTCGTCGAACCCCATGTACAGATCTGCGCGCGCACCAGCGCATAGGCATAGACACCGCCCATCAAAACCAGCCGCGTGAAAAAGACGAATCAAAACGAACGAGGGAAAGAAAAGGGTCGATCGGCCGGGCGTACGTACCGTAGCGCGCCTGCAGGCGCCTCGCGGCGGCGGCGGCGGCGGAAGAAGAAGACGAGGAAGACGAGCGGCCCCACACGTCGGCGGCGTCCATGGCTGCGGGACCGAAACCCTAGGCCGGCTCCCCTCCTCCCTCTCTTTCCTTCCTCACTGCTTCTCCCGCTTTAGAGGGCGGTGTTGGTAATGGTTTTTGTCCGTCGGTGGTCTGGTCTGGGCCTCCTTTTCCTCGGTGCTCCTGCGTCTCCCTCTCAACGGCCGTGCGTGTGCGTGTGTCGTGTGCGTGTGCGCGTGTGGGGTGGATTGATTTGGCTTGGGGCCCGGTAGGCGGTGGGAGTGATGAGCGAGTGACGTGCCAACCAGGGTGAACCTTGCGCACGGTGAGCCGTAGGGATGGATGAATGTGGGGCACGGTATAACTACCGCTAATGGGCCCGTTTGCTTCTGATTTAAACCCCTTTTTCGGCTGTGGCTGTACGGCCCAGCCCAAGCAGATTCTTCCTGTCAGAGACGCTGTAAGCATTTTCATCAGCTTTGTAGAACAACTCTGTATTTTGATTTTTTTTATATAACAAAAATCTTATTGACAGTTTGGTAAAAAAAGCTCTTTAAAAAGCAAGTCACTAAACACCAACTGACCTACATATCCCTCTTTCCTTTGTGACTTTTCTGAAGCCCACATGCTTTTCAGCCCATGTTGTCTAAACTCTAGACGTCAGGTCATCGGTGTTCACGACGCATAAACACAAGTCTCCGCTCCTTCCGTCCTCCGCTCGCACCCTCTTCTCCGTCTGTCCCTGCCCTCAGCGTCTATGAATTGCCGACTCTGCAACCACCACCCCGCCGCTAGCCAGTGGCCAGGGGCAGCCCCATGCCCCACACATACTGACACAGAAGTCGTGCTCGGTGCTCCAACCGCTCAACTAGGGCTGCAAGGGGTTTAGTTCGAACCGCTAGGAACACGCCCCGCTCCTCAAATTAGCGGGTGGATCGAATCGGATCGACTTTAAGTAGAAAAGGGTCACTAACCCTATCGATCCGAAATGACCCTTGGGTCAACCCTCCGCTTCGTGTCACTCTTGCTACCGCCTAGCCCCGATTGATTATAAAGTTAAACAAATGATTGCATTGCTCTCTGAGTCTATGGAGCCAAGGGAAAATAAAAGGGATGGTTAACCCGCGGGCCATTGGAGTAGGGAAATTAAAAGGTGTGGTTCGACCATGATCATAACACTGATTACAGCGGGGCAGCTAAAGGGTCACCCCGACCCGCACCCTTTGCAGCCGTATGCTCAACCGTTGCCTATGACTTTGGCTCTGCCACTCCGTGTACGACCATTTTTTTCCTTCCAAACTCCTTAATCTATAAGATTTAAAGGATGTGTACTAAAAGCGGTTGATTGAGTATTTTGTTGTCAATCAAGATCTTCTCATTTTCATCAAAGAGAATTTTAGATGCTTTGCTATTTGATTTGCCCTATCCCTAACTATACATGAGCATGCAGCCCGCCCGGTGGCCTAGCGCGAGGCCCGATTTTTTGGCCTAGCCCAACTCATTTAATACAATGAGAGTCAACAAGTTGACTTGACAGTTTATTTATGAAAAGAGAGAGATGGAGAGTTTCATAGACTTTGATCCCCTATCACAGTTACCAACATAAAAGCTGATGTAGTAATCTTAATAATTATGTCATGAAACTCTCCACTGAGATTAGCAATAGTAGATTTTGTTTTTCTTATCTCAGGCTTCACTTGCAGCATATAACCATTAACCAGAAAGATCACTTGTAACAATTCGTTTGAGCTGACTGCTGCAGGCTCAGGCTTTGAGCTAACTTGCAGAATTCTTCGATTTCCTTAAATTTGGCCATCTTAATTTGTTTTCACGGCGATCTCTCTTTCAGCCACTTTAACAGATCATCATACGCGAGCGAAAGAATAACAAACAGTGGCACACAAGATTGTTTCCTTTCATAAGGTTACAACATATCATATATGCATAGACAGGTACAGTGTCCACCAGCAGCACCAGCAGCAAGGGTAGTTTAGCAGCAGGGGCAACAAACAACAATAACTACAACATTGCAGTATCATCTGCGTTGATTGATTTTATTACTGCAAAATTGATCCCAGCAGCACTACCGGTAGTTACGGTAGACAGGAGTGTACATGCAGCTCTCTGCATATTTCACCAGGTCTCTCGGGGGAGGCAGACGTGTCGCCAAACCTGCAGAGGGAAGTTGATGATGTCAGATCAGGCATGTATGAGACTTAGGGGGTGTTCACCTCCTAAACTTTAGTCGTTGTCCCATCAGACGTTTAGACACATGCATGGAGTATTAAATATAGACTATTTACAAAACTAAATGCACAGATTGAGACTTTTGCGAGATGAATTTTTTAAGCCTAATTAGTCCATGGTTTGACACAGTGGTGCTACAGTAGACATATGCTAATGACGGATTAATTAGGCTTAATAAATTCGTCTCGCGGATTACTGACGGATTCTATAATTTGTTTTTTTATTAGTATCCGAACATCTCATGCGACATCCCCACGTGACACCTGCTAAAATTTAGTCCCTCAATCCAAACACCCCATTAGTGGTAAACCAAAATCAAGATGTGGAATGGTGTCTGCAAAGCAAAACAGAGGACGTGTGTACCAAGTTCATAAGCTTTTGCAGCCACGGCTGCAGCAATGTGCGCAGAGATCTTTCTAATGTTGGTGAAGGGTGGGAAGATCGATCCCTTGTCAAAGTTCTCCTGCGTGGACTGAGCAGCTAGTGCTTCCGCTGTTTGAATGGATGAAACATGAGATTGGTCCGTAGTCTCATCAAGGTATGAAAAACGATTTTTTATGCCCAACGGTTTCCGTTTGGAGCTACTTACAGGCGGCAAGAAGCATGTCCTCGTGGACACGGATGGCTCCAGAAATAACAAGACCGAGGCCGAATCCAGGGAAAATGTAGGCATTGTTCGACTGTTGTAAATAGAACAGTTGAGTTAGCAATAAACAACTTATGTTTTGCGGGTGTTTACACCAGCAAGATTGCATTGCCTAGTAGGATTTAATATTAAAAACAAGTTCTACCTGCCCAGGTACAAAAATCTTCCCATCGTACTCCACAGGGTCAAATGGACTGCCACTGGCAAATATTGCACGACCCTGAACATAGAGTGCAAATAAAGAGATATGAGTTGCAAACTACAGAGTACAGACCCCACAAGTTTCTTTCTAGAAATCAGCCACTTCCTCTTTTTTTTTTGTCCAATTAGATCACATTTTAATAAACAGGAAACTGAGCACAGGTTCTAGTGATGGCTACATTCAAAATGGTAGCCAGACAGTGCAAAAAATGCCAAATGTTTTGACTCAAGTGGACCAATTTGCAGATCAAACTCTGCAAAAGATGATTAGATGGTTCACCTGAGTCCAGTTATATGCTTCTTCAGCAGTACATTCAGAATGTGAGGTTGGATTTGACAGTGAAAAGATGATAGGCCTCTGCATTTATAATTAGCAATATCAGAGGTTAGCTTTCCATCCTCACAATATACCACCAAACAATGTCAGAAAACAGAAAAAAAAATTACCTCATTGAAGGAAGCCATGGCCTCAACAACTTCTCTTGTGAATGTTCTTCCAACTCCAGATGTCCCAATCAGAACTGTAGGTTTGATGGACTGGAGGATATGACGAAAGTTTAGTAAATTCTTTTCTTTGAAAACAGCACAAACAGGACAGCTTTAAGTGAAGGCAGTAGCTGCTAATGAACTGAAGTACAATCTTAAATGCACATGAGCGTGACTACCTGAACAGCATCATACAAGGTTGTCAAGGGCTCATGCTCATGTGCCCAAGGTTTTTTGAATGACTGAAGGGAGTTTTTCCGAGAGTCAACAATCAAACCCTGTATACAAAATATCGTTTTAGGATGTCAGATAAAAAGGTGAGCAAACATTGTACTAGCAACAGTGCATTTCCTTTGGTTACACACCTTTGAGTCCACCAGCCAAACCTTCTTGCGGCACTCTTCAATTGGAGCCTTCGTCTATAAATCGATCCGACCAGTGCATGTTAGAGTAAGAACTAGGACAAAAGAAACCTACCACACATTCAGATACTAAAAGTATGTAGCTAGTTACCTGTTTTGAAATCTCAAGAGCAATGAGTTCTGCAAAACCAGTTCCAGCCTGAAATCAAATACATTATCAGAATCTTATCGATCGGTCTACTTTCCTCGACAAGAATCTTACTAACGGTCACAATCCCATTTCAAAAGATACTAGTACATAGTATGCTTCGACAGTTGGGTGACAAAGAAAATAACAGTTTGCCAAGAGATGTTCTAACTAACCTCCCCAGCACCAAGGAATAAATAAGTGTGCTCTGCCAGGGTCCCACCAACCACATTGAGTGCTGCTAACACACCTGCAAGGACCACTGATGCTGTGCCCTGCAAACATTCATATTTCCAAATAGGTACCAATCACAAAAGGCAATAAACTGAAGGATAATGATCTCAATTAATTAAGGTTGCCCCCTGGTATCAGTAAAAATAAAAACACCATGGGTGGTTCCATTTACCTGGATATCATCATTGAAAACAAGATGGCTCTTCCTATATTTTGAAAGCAAATCAAAAGCATTATGGTTGGCGAAGTCCTCAAACTGTCCAAAGTTTACAGCGTTACATTTTGCGATAAAGAGTAAATTGATCCGACATAGCAAAAGTACAATGTTGAGTCCAACTCACCTGAATGAGGACTTTCTCACCGTAGATTTGCTTAACAGCAGCCATGAACTCTTCAATAAGCTCATGATACTCCTGCCATTAAGGAAAATGCACAGATAAGATCTCAAGTGTCACATATTTTGCCAATTCCTAACTCCCAGCAATCTCGACACAACTACATACCTCGCCAGTTGCACGTTTTTGCCGGAGTCCAATGTAGAACTCATCATTAAGCAGTTTCTCATTATTTGTGCCAACATCAATTGTGATAGGCAAACACTGCAACGTAATTTAGAATTCACCAATTGAGATAACCTAGTTGTTTGTTGGTACCAAACATACAGGACCATTACAAGAGA